AACTTAAGAGAGAGACTTATGCTCACATGCAGTGCAAAGGGCAGCCAGGCAACCATTTCTGGTTGCCATCTGTCTAAGGCTTTGCCGCCCGTTTTGAATAGAAGATACAGAGACCTGTCAGTAATTTAGATTAGATTTTTTTTCTTCGTATTCAGTATTTGAGTTACTATTCTAATTTCTCTAATTATGGAGAACAGGCTTTCTTCCAAAGATAACATTTTGATTGTTTGCTCGAGTGAGGATAAGATTGATTCCTCTAAATCCATCATTGAAAATCTTCGTGATACCATCGGTGTCGAAGGAAATTTATTTGTTGAAAAAGTTTCGCAATTAACTAAAGGTCAGTTGTTATTTTTTCGGTATACAATTATTTCTGCCACTCACCTTATACATCCTTTACTTTACTTGCTCTTTATATCTTTAGATAAACTTCAACCTTCAAGCTTCCACAAAATTTTCTATGGTTATATTGATGTTACACCCAGTATCAAGCAACTGAATGATGCTATTTTGGATCAGTTAATCAAATTAGTTCGTCCAAAAGGACAACTGTTTATCAAGAATCTGTTCAAGAATATCTGTGATTACAGTCATCAGTATTTAAGATTCATCTCAAGATCTACGAATGGGCATCAGAGGTGAAAATAACAAATAGATTCATAAGTATGTGATACTTAATAATCAATGGGAATCAAGAAGCATGGAAGTTCATGAGGACGTTTCAAAAAGCAATTTTTCATGAAGTCAAAGCCTCGACTAATTTTTTCCATTTTAGTGGATAAGTGAGGCCAATCTGATTCGATTTCATGGCGATTCTCGTACTACATGTATCTATTGATCTGCCATATCCTTCATAATAATGTTGCAAATAATCAGCAGCTTTTTGAGTAACTCCACGACATCTTCGCTATCCTACTAACCAGTATCTGCTGTAATTTCACGAAATCATATCTTCTCCTAATTTAATAAACTATGACAATAACCTTGCTAATTATTATTGTAATTTTGTATGTATTAATGAGCATGTTCTTATAAATATTCAATGGGAATCAAGAAACATGGAAGTTCATGCGGACGTTTCAAAAAGCAATTTTTCATGAAGTCAAAGCCTCGACTAATTTTTTCGATTTTAGTGGATAAGTGAGGCCAATCTGATTTGATTTCATGGCGATTCTCGTTGAAGTAAAACTTGATTGATCTTCCATATCGTTTACAATAATGTTGCACGTAATCAGCAGCGGTTTGAGTGACTCCACGACATCCGCGAACATCAAGTAGCACTAAATTGGGTAAAATACGAACCAATTGCTCTATCCATTTATTTTCCATGTCCAAGGTACCTTCGATATGCCAATCTTTTCTGGTCAGCTTTGCTCTCAACGCAAGATGTTTGAGATTTGGATATTTCAGTATCACTCTTTTTAATTGATTCCAGTCGATTCTCGCAATATCTTTCTATAAATATAAAAAACAGTTAGCTATTACTGAATTATATTTATTATGTGTTAGTAATTTACACAGATGATACTTCTGTTATTGTGAGTGGTGATTTGAACATTTGATCGGAAACGTTAAGTTGATTCGAATTATAAGAATTTTTCCAAAAAGCAAATATATTATAAGATTTTAAATCAAGTTGATACTTACAAAATATATAACTAAATCTTGCAAAAATTGGTGTTCCAAAGACTCATTAACAAAATAGCGATCACGATTCACGACAATATATGCACTTTGTAAGTTTGGACATGAATCGATGAAGTGGAAACTCTGATGAATGCCTGAAAAATCATTAAATGGTTGGGTGCATTCAAATATTTTGAGTTTTGCCAATACTGGACGTTTGTACCATTTTGCAGAACCTGAGGATGAACGATAGTTGTTAATTTTACTGCAAAAAAATTTCAAAATCACTTACCACAATTCGTGATAGAAAGCCTTTCAAGATTTGAGAAATTATATTTGTGTAGATTATTCAGAAGATCGAGCGAAGTGTGTAATTGTTTCACATTGAAACGTTTTAGTCTTAGGCTATCAATCCAGTTGTAGCAAACCATTTCGATATTGAGAAAATTCAAATAGTTTGTTATGTGATCAGAAAGAATCAATCCTTTCAAAGATTTGTGATTTTTCAAAAAGGCAACAACATCCTTGTGGTTTATTTTTTGTAGTAGTTTTTGTGTTATTTGAGCAATCTAAGTTAATAAGATATAAAATTATTAAAAATGTATTACAGTCAAGCCTCTCAAAAGTTGCAAAGAAAGTGATCATTAATTTTATCATCTACAATATTTAAACAATTTTTTGATGACACAATCTGAAAACGATGGGCTGCCTTCTTGACTGTAATTAATCTGACAATCAGAATGAACTTTGGTTAATGATATCAACTTACTAGCAAATTTGAAAATAATGTCTTTAAACAACTTCCATCGATTGGTTTCAATCCAGTGAAATAAACAGAATCATTTGAATCAGCACGAGTAGCTATAAATAAAAATGCTGAAATTACGGAAATCGATTCACAATTTGAATAAGTTTTAATGAAAATACGAATCTTACCTTTCAAATATCTAATTTTTTTGGTTCGCTTAGCAATTAAGTGACTCCACTTGATACACACTGCAATAAAAATGTTATGGAATTATTAAATTTTTAGCTTGTTAATTTGCTTAATTATCATTGAATTGGCTTCATAATTCATTCAATCTAATTTAAAATTTGTAAAAATATTTAAATACTGCGCTTCAAAAGTAAGATAATAAGATGATCATAAGATAAAAGAAGATGTTATATTCACATGAAAGTCAGATGAAAGTTTCATAATATTTATACGTCAATGATAACACTTGTCAGATTCAGAAACTAGTTGACTCATATAAGAGTTTATTTGGTCAATAAAGCTAAAATAGCAAATATTTGGCTAGATCAATCTAGCAAATTTTGATAATCGCTGAAGGTATGGAAAATTTCAATGGATTATATGATTTTTATGATAAAGAAAAAACATGATTGGTAATTACCTTTAAAGCAGTTTACTAAATCATCCAAGTTATTCAAATAATCAAAAATGGTGAGCAAACAATCATCTGGAAGTTTACTAATCAACATTGTAAATAAACTAGAGTTGTATTGTTCCAATATTTTCAAGGAACAAGAACAAAAAATGTTGTTCCTAGCTCTTAAAATCAAGAACAAGAACAAAAACAAGAACAGTCAAATCGGAACAAAACACTAAAATTGGGGTCTCACTAAAAAACCAAAGACGACCAAAAAAACCAAAATAAGAAAAACGCAACCAAAATGACCAAAATAACCAAAATGCACTCGACATGTAAAATTTCACTTTCAAGTGCATATAGCTTAAAGGCATGGTCAAAATGCTTCAAAATAACGACTTTGAGGAGATTAAAATTTGAAATTTTCTAAATTCTCTTGTTTTTTCTTCAACTAAAAGCATTCTTGCATTCACACTCAACACATTACCAACAACTGACCATTTGAATCAATCATTAACGAGGTGTCAAAGACTTTTGCCGATATTACGGAAAATATTCTGATATAATGAATGGTGAACAAGAGGATTGAATAGAGCTTCAATAAGATCCATTTGTATTATAAGTTGCATCTATCATCATCATTCACTAAAAACAAATAATGAAATAAAGTGATAGAAAAAAAGTTGATTGCAAACTCTCCGAATGGGCTCCGAGATAAAGAGTAACAAATATACTTTGTATTCATTTACAAAGACATCTCTTTAGATTAGACTATAGATTTAACTTACTAAAAAACAGATCGCAGAGTAAAGTGATTAAAGTTTTAGACTAATTTCAAGCTCTTGGATTGGGCGAGTTAGAATAACAATAGGAATCAAGAAATATGGAAGGTGACTAAAATCTTTAAGAAAGCAGTGTTTCATGAAATCAGAGCCGCGACAAATTTTTTCGATTTTAGTGGATAAATGAGGCCAATCTGATTCGATTTCATGCAGATTCCCATTGAAGTAAAACTTAATTGATCTTCCATATCTTTTACAATAGTCTTTAACATAATCAGCAGCCCTTTGCGTCACTTCAGTACATTCACGAACATCAAATAGAACCAAATTGGGTAAAATATAAACCAATTCCTCGATATCTTCATCTTCTAAGTACCATAGTTTCTTGAACCTAAGATGCTTGAGATTCGAATATTTCATTAACAATCTTTTTAAATTATTCCAGTTGCTGTATTTAAATAAATCCTGTAAATATAATATCAATTAGTTTATGTTGACAAATTTTGAACAGATGACCATTCCATGTTGTTACATAACCTTGATGCTTCCAATCATGAAAAGGTCGAATGAATTTGGATATTCCGAATTTATTTCCAAAAAGAAATGTAATTTAAAATCGAATTGATACTTACAAACTCTACAGCTAGATCTTGCAAAAATTCGTGTTTTATTGTTTCATCAACAAACAAGTAATCAGGATCAGTGACAAGATATGCACTTTGTAAATTTGGACATGAATCCATGAACTTGGAGTAATAATCTAGGTCTGCGCCATCCCAAGGAGCTAAGCACAATTCAACTACATTTTATTGTATTTTAACCTTTTCCAACAATGGACCATCGTAGTAGTGCGATTCAGCATTTTGCATGTTAATTCTTTCAAGATTTGGGAAACAATGTGCGTATTTTTGGAATCTAGCGAAATGATACATTTCGCACAATGTTATTGGATCACTAAATTTTCATTCGAGTAATACTTGTCAGAGTCAGAAGCTAGTTGACTCATATAAGAGTTTTTTGGTCAATAAAGCTAAAATATCAAATATTTAATTAGACCAATCTAGCAAATTCTGTTGCACCAAATTTTTTCCACGAAAATTTCAATGGATTATATGATTTTTTTCGAAATAAAAAAATTTTGACCGGGAGATGGACCTTACACCCTTGAAAGCGGGCTCCCCAGGGCTAGAATTGCGATAATTTACGGAAATTTTTTTTATTTTAAAAAATGAAATCCCCCTCAAAATTATGCATTTAGCTGAAAAAATTATGTTCCTATCTAGAGCTGTTCAAAAGTTATAGCGATTTAAAGAGTCAGAAGCTAGTTGACTCATATAAGAGTTTTTTGGTCAATAAAGCTAAAATATCAAATATTTAATTAGACCAATCTAGCAAATTCTGATAATCGCTGAAGGTATGGAAAATTTCAATGGATTATATGATTTTTATGATACAAAAAAACATGATTGGTAATTACCTTTAAAGCAGTTAATTAAGTCATCCAAGTTATTCAAATAATCAAAAATGGTGAGCAAACAATCATCTGGAAGTTCATTAATCAACATTGTAAATAAACTTATGACAAAACTACAGTTTTTGAATGGTGAGAATAAATAGTTATTTTAGTTAACATAGATGTCAACAGTAGGTTGAATTAATTTATATTTTTAATTAAATTAGGTGTACACTTTTTGCCCCAGACCCAAAGGGGATGAGGGTATTATATTATTTGGTTTCATCTTTTAAACCTAAAAATGAAACAATGTTAGATTACTAGGCAAAATTTTGCCGTTATTACGGAAAATATTCTGATATAATGAATGGTGAACACGAGGATTGAATCTAGAGCTTCAATAAGATTCATTTGTTAATTGTATCTATCATTTTAATTCAATTCAAGAGTTCACTTTATTCTTAGACCCAGAAATCACTAAACAGAAAAAATTAAAGTTAAATATTTGAAAATACGAGTGTTTATCATGCTAGATTTATGATGACAAAAGTAGAGAAACTTGTTAGGATCTGAACATTTTGCGGTTGAAACAAAATTTAAAAATTGAAAGGAAACTTTTTTCGGATTAATACTGACAAGGGAAGTATCTCAGGTGTCTCAGCGATTTCCGGTCGAAACTATGTTCATTCGATAGAGCATAAAAAACTAGCGATAGGGTTTGTCGGCTTTAGATAGAAAACTTTCGGGTCACGAGAAAATTGAGGTCAAAACCCGTTTTCTTGCAAAAAATGCAAAGTTTCCCCAAATTTTTTTCGAACTTTGATTCATTTTCCAGGGTTTTCAGACCTGAAAAAATCATTGGAAATATTTAAAACGCTATAAAATGTCTGCATTTACAAATTTATTTGATTA